GCCTCTCGTTCTCTTCCGCGTACCTCTCGTTCTCTTTCTCGCGCCTCTCGTTCTCTTCCTCGTGCCGCTCTTTCTCCTTTTCAACTAAATCCAAAAGTTCTTCCCTCAGCATCTCCTCCTGCTTTTTCCTTTCCTCCTCTAGCTTCCTTTCCCTCTCTCTTGCTTCTCTCTCTGCTTCCTCCTTCTGTTTCCTATCTTCCTCTTCCTCCTGCCTCCTCTTTTGCTCCTCATCTACCTGCCTGCTCCACTCCTCCAGTTCCTTTTCTTCCTGCAGCCTCAGTGCCTCCTCCTCCTGCTTTCTCATCTCCTCAGCTATCTTTCTCTGTTTCTCCTCCTGCTCTTTCCTTTGCTTCCTTCTCTTTCTTCTCGCTTCCTCCTTCTTCTTCACACGTTCTTCCTCCTCACGATGCTGCTCTGCCTCCCTCCAGAGGATTTTCTGGATTTCCTCTTGGGTCAGTGGAGTCACGACATCACTGGGGTCATTGGGAACTGGGGAGTCACCAGAAATGTCAAGGCTGAGGTCAGGTTCTGGGGGGGTTTATGGTGGTGAGGGACACCCCATCAAGGGGTAGGAGGGAAGGGGACAGGAAGGAAAAGAGGAGTGAAGAAAAAAAAGTTGGAGATACAGACAGAGAGAAAGATGAAGAAGTAGAGTGGAAAAATAAAGAAACTGCAATAAAAGAGAGGAAACAGGATGGAGATTGAGGTTGGTGGGGACAGACAGGCATGGTGATAGGTGGACAGACAGACAGCAGATGGACAAACAGACGGCTGTGTGTTAGTGCTGTGAACAAACAGCCATCTACATTCTTTCAGACCAGCTTGTTAAAGCTACAGAGCACACTGCTGCTGTAGACCAGTCTGGACCAAATCCCACTAAGACCACTAAGACATATGATCACAGTCAGATAAAGTCAGTCGTTGTGGTGTTTGCTGCTACTGGTGCATTCTGGTCCTAAATCTGAATATGAATTATAGACTTGTTTTCATAAACATACATCCATATTAGAATGTTTGTGTGTCTCATGTTTTTGTTAAGTCATGAAAATAAGAGAAGTTACAAGACGGTTTCATTTTGTAAAAGGCTAATCAACTTTGGCCTAAAAATTGGTTGGTTATATTTAACAATGGATCAATTCCTCATCAAAATATCCGTACCACCTGATGTTGGCCTTGTTGACAGTGTTTGTGGCTGTTATTTATCTTTTGAGTCCAATTTTGTATTCAATTTCAAACATTTGTGGGGAATAAAATGAGCTCAGACAGCCTAAATACTTCTGATTAGGCATCTCCTAAGTTCATAGTTGTGCCTAGTTGGTTTCTGTAAATTTTCTGTTCAAATCTATAAAATGTCTTGTAGAAGCAGAAGCAATGGATACATTTTATAAAACATACAGTTTGTCATCTTATAAGAATCAAAAAACATCATGCAGCAAAATACTGTTCCTGAATTAGACCAACTTTAGCTCACTTGTCCAACACTTGTGCTGTTTTATAGTCAAAAACTTTGTGTTAACAAGATCCTTTAGTAAATATAAAATCAAAGAGACAAACTTACATCTGAGGTTTTTCAGTGAGTTTGGGAATAACTATAATTGGACTTTTGTTCCGGCTATAAAACAGCTTCCTTCCCAGTAAACTTTATACATACAACAGAAGGTGCACGTGTACAGGTAGAGAAACACACCTTTTCTATGACCTTCAAGTCATAGAAAAGAGGTTTTCTTCTGCTGCATTTCTGTACATATGCACTCAATGTGGCATGCAAAAATATGAGCAACGACAAAATAGTGTAAGTTCAGCTATTTTTCCCCATAATTCTTAGAAGGTTTTAAAGACAAGTTTCCCATTTACAACAAAGGATGCACATGCATGCAGAGGTAGAAAATTATTTGCCCCAACATTAGCAACTCAAAAAATTACAGTGTAAAAATATATTTACATTTAACAATTATGTTCTCATTGGCAAAAGTTTTTACTACAGGCCTGCTGGCTGAGTCTTTCCCACAAATATTTTTTTACAATTTGTTTTCTGCCTCCAGCATCTCCACAGATCTCCCAGTAATATGACTCAGCATCTCATCCTTACACCTCATATTAGTCCCACATTCATTCGTCTTTGTTCTGATGATCTGAACAGTAAAGCAAAATTAATCCCAGACATGTTGAACAACAGATGTTATGTCCCAACTTACAGACATGCTAAAACTCTCACAACATGAGTGTTCACGCATCCAAAATGTGCATACCACATTTTTAAAGCCATGATGAAACAGGAAGCAACATGCTGAGGCCTCGGAGATGGAAATTATTCAGCATCAAGAAAATGTTTCGATTCCGTTCAGAACTGATGTAATGAACAATTTACACGAGTTTCATTTTAAGAAAGGAGACGTCTACTGACTCATAAGATAGTAGCAGATAGAACTTGATAGAACATCTTGAAATGTGGATTATTGATTGATTGAGTTACTCTAGTAGGTCCCCTTTAGGTTTTGAGGGGACCTTGGTGTTAATATCTGTTGCCTCTGAATGTTGTACCATGGCTGTGTCACATGTTGTGTTTCTACCTGGCTCCATGCAGACAGGGCAGCACTCGCCCGCAGGGGTGAAGGGGAAATGACAGTGTATTTCGGGACAGGTGCTCTCATCACAAACCACCCGCCCTCCGGTACACAGACAAGTCACACAGGGCTTTGGGGACCAGACGGCCTGGTCAAACATGGTCAGACCCTGGTACACACACACTGGCCCTGCTTACCTGAAACAACACAGAGACAGTAATGTCAGGAGTAATTAATTGAAATCAAACTATGAAATGTTTATATTATCTAGAAGCATTAGTACATTTAACATTAGCAAATAATGTCTGAGACACATTAAGACCTGGCAGTGTACCCATAAGGACACACACTATGGGCAAGAGCATGACTGCTACTGTAGTATATTGGCGTTTGACATCTGCAGTGAGCACACACAGTCATAAAACCCTCTATGAAACATCTGCAGCCTCACCATCGTGGGTACATGGTAAAATTTCTGGTTTTCTGCACAACAACTGTGCAGATGCTGAAAGTATAATTAGCATCGAAACAACTGGACATAATTACAAAGCCTGCAAGCAGTCACTCAACACAATCAAACAAGCAGTGGGTGACACTTTGTTACATAGTGGTGAATGAGAAGAAGCACCAAATGTGGTTTCTTTTCATTCAGATACCAAACATTTTCACTGTGAATCGTGTCTTAATAACAGAAACACTTTGGATCATGGAGTGGTGCTTAGAGATTACACTATTTTACTTCATATTGAAAGAGTTCCCCAGTCTCTGCCCTGTTGTAGTTTTGTTTCCTAAATAAGAGAACAGTTCTAGTAAAAAGTGCCACCAGAAAATTCAAGGAAGTTACTCATGAAAATCTAAAATGTTGCTGATTTAAAGTTGGATGACTTGCCCTTTAAGATTATATTCCTGTGTTTGTCTACACCCCTGTTTGATCTTTCACATTAGCCAAGTGGGACAGGTGGTGAGGCCAAACAGTGGCCTTTATAATGTGATGTTTGCTGACACACTGTAGCACAATTCAGGGAGTTTCCACTGTATGTTCTTCTTTAGATGCCCCGGGACATTACAGGAAAACTTGTTACCTGTGGAGAAACTACTGGATCACAGCTGTAAATCCAGGTGTCATCAGCAGTGGGGAGCCTCTGTGTGAAAATTAGGTCAGTTTGGAAGAGAAGTGTATGTTTTCTGCAAATTTGACATTGAGATTTAGAGACTTGTGCAAAACAAGACTTCCAGGAGCACTGCTGCACAAGAAGTTGAAAGACTTTAAAGCAAACATCAGCCATTTTTTGTGGGTTGATTCAAGGAACTTTTTGACAGCATTAGTTTTACAGGATGGTGGTCCCATATTGTTTGGGGAGTGAATGGGGCATCTGTCTGACTTGTGGTAACCTGTAGAGGTGCAAAAATCTAATCAGCACATGTTGTGACTGTTTTCTGGTTCTGGTGCTAGAAGCTGACATCCCCATTCCTAATCTCATCAACAAACCTCTGATTGACCAATTTAGTTTTCAAACAAAGGAACTTATTTTCACTGAACACAGAATCACAACAAATTGAGTCACTGAACAAAGCTGAGCAGTGATTTAAGATTTAGAGCCAGACACAACTTTACCCTGGACCCTTTTCATGCTCCTCAGCAGCAGCAGGCCTGCTGCAATAATTGCTGTGTGTGTCTAGTCGAATCTAAAGCCTGTACTTTACCATAAAAAACAGACAAAGCATTTCTACTCCTCCCTTTGAATTAACTTCACCTTTCAACATGAGACCAAGGACAAGACAAGGCTATGCCTGGCAGTGAGTCAGTATAAAAGACTGTAAACCACTATGATACAGCAGGAAGAGCCTCTTTTTTTTTTGTCTGTTAGCTCTGTCTGTCATCTATCCTTTCTAATGGTATGCTCTTTGTTACGTCTATAGGAACACAGGTAGTTAAGAGGCTCAGGTTATTTCTCTTAAATACGGTCTCCCTAATATCTTTGTCCTTTTAACAGTGAGCAGTGAGACTGTCACCCTGTCATCTCAGTTCGAGCACACATACTTTAGAGCTTTTCTCTTTAAAACTTTGTCTCTGTGTCACTGTTCTCTACATTGCTCAATAAATTGCAGGTTTTTGATTAAATAGCATGGTTAGCTTGGTAAGCGCTGTGATATGACACATTCAGAGCATATTATTTGTTGTTTTTATCACCAGTAGCACAATTAGTGGACAACAGTTAAAAACAATACAAGTTTTTATAATATTAAAATATATGACACAAAAATATAACAGAAACACTTCTTTGGTCTTGAAGTCACCTGGTTGTAGTATCTGACTAAGCGTTTTCCTGCACACCCCCTCAGTGAGGTGTTATCAGCATGTCCAACTGGGAAGAGGCCGCAGGGCAGTCCAGGACATGCTGGGAAGATTGTTTCTCAGTTGGGCTTACGACAGCTAGGTATCCCCTAACAAGAGCTGGAGAAGGTGACTGGGAAGAGGGAGCTTGCTGCATTTCGGCATAAGGCCCCATTACACCCGCTGCTGTCATCCTTGCAAAAGGCGGTGCAATCCAAAAGTGATGTTACATCCACTGACATGAGCCACGCTTTAGTGTTGTTTCAGCTTGGCCAGGTTGAAGGCACGAGTGTATGATGGTGTCATTTTTACTTTTACTTGGTATATCAGTGCAGAAGCTCAGAGATTTCCAGATTATACTGAGGGAGATGGTGCAGCAGTTTGAAAAGATGAGTTTCTTGAGAAAGCTTTGAAAAACTCCATGATCACTTTGCTTCTTGCTTCTACAACTTCGATTGATATGCAGACAATGGTGCTGAGGTTTTATCTGAGTTTTATGAGAGTCCTACTGTTCAGAAGAACGCTGCGATAAGTCTGGTGCACCCTAAGCCCTCATGATGGTTGGATTTCCTTTGCTATAGCCCTTATAATTTGCTGGGCCAGATAGACAAAAATCCCATAACGATTGCTGCAATTTACAGAGATTCAGCCTAATCTCTGTAAACAGTTAGTTATACTCTGTTTTTAGTCAGTGTTCTGTTGACCAGTCATGTATAAGTGCGCTTTGGTGGAACTGAGGTACACTGCAAACTTTAAAACGTTTGCTGCTACACCCAGACGATAAATGATCAGACCAGCCGATGTCTTCTCAGATTACTGTTAACCTTAGCCTAATTTTGAAAAGGTCGCTGGCGACCTGGTGAATGTAAATAGATTAAGATAAAGTAAATGCTCCCTGTGTAGAATATAAAAAATGCATAACTCAAAGTCCTTCTTTCCAGTTTTTCTGCCCTTGACCACTTAATACAGTCACATGACTTGGAATTATACTTTGAACACTTGTGAATTATAAATGGGGCCTCAATCTGAGTAAATCTGTTGAAAAAGCAAGGTAAGGAAGCAAAGTAAGGGGACCTTGAAAATATAAATACATCCAAAATTAACACTTGCACTAAAATGCTGTGACTTCTGGTCAGAGGTCTTTCATTTTCCCACTCTTCAGTGGAAAATCCACTGGTTTGATGAGCAGCTTCTTGCTACTGTAAACTACAGTCTGATTGTTGCTGTTACATTACAGTCACTTAAACAGAGACTTGTTCTTACACCCAAAACAACAGCAATGAAAAAAAGAATTGAAAAAATCCTTGTAGCTTCCAACAAAAGCTTGCTGCCGCTACATTCCCTTCTAATTACATAATGCTGACTGTAATGTGTTAAACTGAAGGTTTTCCACATGGCTTTGAGGTTATTCTTTGGAGCCTTTGTCCCCATCTCTGTGTGCGATGTTTCAGGGCTACTTCTCTGACGAGCTCTTTTCCCACAGATGTTTTTCCCTTCTGTTCATTTTGGAATGTGATGATTTGTCATTAAATTGCGGTGCTGTAAAAGCCGGCAGCTTCGTTATGAGAACAGGATGGAGCTTCTGAGCTGAGCTGTTGTTTGACTGGACTCATACATGCAGCTTCTCTAAAGGGTTTTTTTTGTATTACTAAAGATTTTATTACCTATTATTTGTTTGTGATTTTTTTTGGATATGTTAAAAAAATAACTTCCTTCTGCTGTGTTAATAAGTCGACTTCTAATTGCTGCATCTAATCTATCTCCTACTGGAAATGTGAATAATTTTAAAGTTTTTTTTTTTTTTTTATCACTGTACACTGTGTTGTAATATTTGTTAGTAAAGTTGATTAGTCCATCCACACCCTATGTGTGAATCGACTAATCTATGTAACAGTAACCCTACATTACTGTTACATTATTGGACACATAAACATGGATTACCGGTAGCAGAGTAGTCTCACTGACCTGGGATGACGTTGTAGGTGGCGTGCTGTTCTTGGATGTTCTTATAGGGTTGTAGGAGAAGAGCATTTCCTTCTACAGGCACCACTGGGATGCTGGGACCAGGAACCAGTCTGATCTTCAGAGGTCTAGTTCGCCCCGCTCTAGCCTGGCCAAAACCTGCAACCACTGGTCATATTAATGTGCATCTTTCTAGGAACATGGGGATGTTTTTGGTTGTTTTGACACTGTCATTTAAGCTAAACTTGTTTCCCAGTGAGTTTATTACTTGAGACTGACTGAAAGCTAAATGTTCCCTTCTGTGTTTGTGAGGGGTTTTTTTGTAAATCGGTTTTTGCATCAGCAAACAGCAGTTTTCACACAAGAACCTTAGACCTTGCCCTTCACTGGTTTTTGGGATAATATGACTGTAGCACATAGCAGGAAACAGCCCACTTCAGAAACATTATCACTACATGAAATGCTCTGTGTGCCTGATTAGTGAAGACAAGACACATGATGTCCATTTCCTAGAAGTGGATGCACCATGAGTCCGGCACTGACGTGTTAAAGATAGTTTAATGCCCAAACACACTACATGTGACATTTTATCTTTCTCACCAGCACCCCTGCCAAGAAATTTCTAGAAAGATCCAACACCAAACTCCACTCCTGTCAACTCTACTATCACTTCAGAACCTTTGAGATCACCCAATACATTTTCAGCACAACAGCTCTAATTGTAACTGTTGCTATAACCACCTTATCTATTGGTGCCTTTTCGCTTTTAATGAAACTAGGCTTTCTCTACCTCCCTCAAATCTTTTTGCTACGGTAAAAAAAATCTCTGTACTGGTCACACAAGCATTAAACTGGAAAAAAAAATTACCCTGAATGACAAAAAGTCTCACCTTGTCCATCCTTCCTCCTCCTCCTCACTCTAAGAATCTCACCATTCTGGTTTCGTGGACGGTTTCTGGCCTCAGCATCAGGGATGGTCAAGGCCACCAGCAGCCACAGACTGGCCACCACCAGCCACCACCTCATCCCTATAGAGCAGCACAGACTAGGTTCAGGAGGAGGTTGCTACACAGTACTTTTCCCCTTTTAATAAGATCTAACTATCAATAAACATGTTTTTTATCATGACAGCGTGAAAATAAACAGTGTTAAATAAGCAAATAAAAGGACATTTTTCCACACAAAGAAAGGTTGTTGTTGTTTTTTTTACAAAAAAAAACATCACAAATACAAACAGCTGCAAAGTTTTGCATACATGTTGTTATAAACTTAGTTTAATCCCAAAAAGAATGGATTTAATACTCAGTCCACCTAGTTAAAGGAATACACTGAAGACAAATAAATAATATAAAACTGTAAATTTTTTAGGGTTTAAGATGTCCAAGTTTTGAGAGCAACATGAGACCTTTGTTTCATATTCTTCTGCATCTCCCTCTACACCCATTTTCTTTTATCTTTCCACTTTTCAGCTACATATGAATTAGAAAAATTATAAAAGGTCTAAAAAAAAAGTGCCCCTCCCTTTTTTTTAAGATTTCTTTTTGGTTTTAGTATTTTTCCTATTTTAAATCATCTTTTTTTAATGCTTGAGAATTTAAATCCTTACTTCCTACAGCTGGTAAAGTAGCTGAAATACGGCAGACAGATACATGTTTACCTCTAACTTCAGAAAAATAGACAACACAAAAAGAGAGAGGATTTTACCTGCAGCAGTTCTCAGTAAAGAGCTGTCAGCACTGCTTCTGTCCCTCATATAGCTCTCGGCTGGGGTCCTAATGGCTGGTTCCCTGTAGGTGTGTAATGACTAGTCTATAAACAGCAGTCCTGTCATTATTAAAGCATAGAGATCTGAGGCTAAAACACACCTTCGCACACCTGATAGTTTGTTTTTCTGTCTGATTCCCCGTCTGAATGGAGCAGATTTAAGCAATTCTCTGTATCATATGAGCCTCTGATTGCTGTCCAGATAGACAACTTGTTTTCCGTACTCAGTCAATAAATGCCAGGAAATTATTTTATTTAGAACTGATTTGTCATTGCTCTGAGCTTTTTAATTTTAGATCTCGGCACATTTCAGTTATGAGAAACCAGAAAATTCCTCATCTGGTGTAGTTACAATCAGACTTGTATGCATCATCTGTTTTTGGTACATTTCTGTGTCTGTTTTGTTTCAGTGTATTAATTTTACATGTTTTCAGCAGAAAGGTTTCCACATGTGGCGCCTCCATTTTGGTCAAAATAAGCACCAGTTGAACTTTTCATATATTCAACCAAAAGCCTGAATCATATGTCAGGTCCTCATAATGTCCTTAAACCTTTAATTCAAAAGAAAACATAAATTATCCACAAAAACTGTAATAAAGCTCTGGGCTCAGATCACTTCTGAGCCTGATTATTACAGTTTTTAGACCAGTCCACATGGCTGATATTAGATTTAATTAAAAAAGAAAAAGGAAAAAAAGTTTGCTGCAATCCAGCTCCAATTTCAGGACTAATAACACTGACCAAAACATTTACCATATGTGGCTCACATTCAAAGTACTGTTAAAATCAGCTGGAAACGGTTTCCTTTGTTTGTATTTTAAGGACAAATAAAATACACTTTTAAAAAAAAGCTACATAAACACTACAAATCTGTATGGAGCAAACTGTAGTACAAGTGAAACCGGTCCATACACGCAGACCTTTGTGTTCCCAGTTGACTTATTAATGTTTTTGTTTAAGATGACAAGTTATAGTTACCCGTCTGAACTTTGGTGAGCAGTTTTATTTCCAGTTACCAGAAGGGTCACTGTGCATTACTGCCACCCTCTGGGCTGGAGTAATGTTAAAGCTGATTGGCTGTGGTGATATTTGTCAGATTTATCTGCATATGAGAGACACTATGTATTTCTTTAACAGTTATGAGAGACACCCAATAGTTTATACTTTAGACGAAAAGTGGAGTTTCAGATATTTGTCATTTATGGTGAGGTGTTGCATCTATTCCACGTTTTGCAAACATATGTACAATTTGGACATTTTAATTAAAAGAATCATGAAGGTTATTATTGCACTCATGGCTACTTATATTCAAGTGCTTGTTTGCACAAATAACTTTCAGTCACAAGGCAGAAAATCAGACATTTAGGCCTGCTGACATTCAAACTGAGGATCAGAATGGGGGGAAAAGGTGATTTAAGTGAATTTGATTGTGGCATAATTGCTGGTGTCAGATAGGATGGTCACATTATCTCCAAAAAAAGCTGATCTAATTAAATTTTCCTGCATAATCATCTCTAAGAGCAGAAAACCAAGGGTGAAATTCACACAGGCTTGCCAAGATAGGACAAAAAAGAAAATTTGTAGCAGAAATCTGAGTTACGATTTCTGCTACAACATTCAGGTGGAGGTTAAAATTTGGCGTTAACAGCCTGAAAGCATGGATCCATCTTGCCTCATATCAACGGTTCAGGCTGGTGGAGGTGCAGTAAGGGTGTGGGGGATAAACAGCTTACATGTGATGTTAAGGGATGGACATGTTGACCACAGACAACCCATGTTCTGATGGCTGCTCCAGCAGGATAATACACCATGTCACAAAGCTCAAATAATCTCAGTGAGAGTATGTGTTATGTCTTATGATGGAACATAATTGGTGGGAAAGTTAAAGCTTCAAAACATGCCTTTAAATCTTAGTTAATTTATTATTTTTGCGATATTAGATAATGAATTTTAACCACTGTTAAAAACTACATCTCCCATGAAGTTTCACTGAAAATCACACATGTGTCACAGTTAGAGGCTCTTCTGATCCCCTACATACGCCCTCCCTCTTTTAATCATTCACATTTCCTTTAGGATGGAGTAAAACTTTAGTCTGCAGCTCCACGGACTGGAGGTCTGATCACATTCAGCTCCGAGACCCTCCCACCTCACATCAGCCCTCACCAATAGGAAACGAGGATTCAATGGGAAACAAAGAGTGAGAGAGAGACCAATGTGAGCTGAGACAGGAGAAAGAAAACAGGAGGGAGGGGAAAGAGATGGAAAATGTTCAGCAGTTCAGTTTCTGGATGAGCAGGCTCAGATGGAGAGACTTCCAATATGAGCAGCAGAGGATAAAAATAACCAGGAGTCTGTGTGTTTATGGATTAATGGAAGCCAGGCGGTGTTTAAAGCTCGAGCTTTGGTCCACTGCTCTTTGCTTTCCAAAAACATTCCACTGGATTTGGAGAAATCACCCAAACTAACTGAAGTTGAATTGTATTGACTTTTTATTGCAAATATTTTATGCAAACTACTTTCTGCTTATTGTACCGACAACTTCCATAAGACAGCTCTAAACATTGGTGTCACATCTCAGTAACATAATCTGCAAAACTCCACTTATAGCGAACAAATGTATGTTTATTCAAACTAAGATTATTAGTCTGAAATAACCGATGCTTGTTTGACATCCAAAACCTGACTTGCCACCACTTATAGCTCGTTGAAAACAAACATATTTGTGTTTTTATGTTGACCAGTTACAGGGCTTTTTTTCCCTGCAGAGACTAATTTTTATGACTTCCAAAGATCCAAAGGAAAATCTCCCATCATCCGTCCTGTTTTTTTTTTTGGTTTTGTTTTGTTTTTTTCAAACCAATTTAATTGTTTGGGGTTTCGTTGACTCAAACATTAGAGACATTTGTTTATGAAATGGTCATAAATAGCTCACTCGCATGCTTAGTCAGCCAACCAAAAGCCCATTCTAAGCCTCATATTTACTATAAAATGTCAGCAAAGCTTGAAAAATCCTTATTTTAGTTTCTCATGTCTCCCATTGCCTCCTGGAAATATTGAGTCTCTATAAAATATGTATATATCATAAATATCTGACACAAAAGCAGCAGATGCTCACCGAGCTTCTGACATTTAAATGCACCGACAAGGATGAAGCAAAGTATTTATTTACTGAGCTCTTGCAGTCTTTTGCAACCAGAGGAGTCACCCCCTGGTGGACAAGAAATAATGCAGGTTTAAGGCATTTTAAACTTTGATGTCATCTTTTACACAGTAGTACAAACTATCGTCTGCAGCTCTGACAGTGCCTGCACATGTTGGTTTGTCCAGTTCATTTCCTTTGAGTGGACGCAGCAGTAATGGCTGTGTTTGTTGCGATGTAATCTCACATCATTTTGACTAATCACAATCACCAGCCTCTAAGTGTTGTATTTAGTGTGATGAATTTTGTTCCAGGAAATCTTCTGCAAAGTTGGCATCACCCAATGGAAACACATTAAACCAGAGAGAAATGCATATCTGGAGCAGCACAGTGGGAGCAAGCAAACAGGGCCTTGACAAACCAAACTAACCTCAAACAACAAGGAGAAAAACTGACTAGCAAAGACTTGCTTCACGCCCACAACTTCAGACGATGAGCAGCATGATCTGTTTATTCCAACCAGCATAACACGGGAGTCGTTCATTGCTTCCTGTGTTACTAAGAGACACAGGCATAAACCAGGTTTTCGTCTGTGATCCACATGGATATCAAGCCCATGTCGTGGAAGCTGTTTTGCTCAGTAATTAAATGATTTACAGAGAGTTTCTTGCATTACTTTGATAATTAGTGAGTTATTATTGTAACCAGTGTTTATGCTCAACCTAAAAAGAGTTAATTTATCACGTTATAAATCTCCAAGTGTTCTCCAGCAATGAAACAACTGTTTACAAACCCAAGTACAACAGACGGACAGACAGACAGGCAGAGACTTAGAGAGGGGAGGAGCTGAGGACAGACAGACATTAGCGCTACATTACCAGCAGTTCGAAGGCGGCTGCAGGACGTTAGGCCAATTTCTTCCAGCCTCTTTCCTCCTCCTCTGGTTCAGCAGGAACTCCAGGAGAGGTGTGTGTGTGTCGCTGAGTGATGACACTTAAAGTTTGCATGTGTCTCCAGGCGCAGAGATGTAGAGTAGAGCAGAGCAGGGTAATAAGTCTCCAAAGGAAAGCCAGGATTTGTACAGCAGCTGGAACAAAAAGTGAGCGAGTGAGAGAGAGAGTAACAAACAGACAGAGAGAGAGGGAGAGAGAGGGAGACAGGTCTGTCTTCCTGTATGTGTGAGGATGCTGCCAACATGCTGCAGGATATTGGAGCAAAACGATCGGCGGTGATGTCTCAGAAAAAGCAGGACTATCAGAATATGAAGCACGAAGCCTGGTTTGGCTCTAAAGTCTAATAATAAGTTGAAAAGGTTAAGTTTGGATGGAGGTCCGATAAGAGTGTGTCACTTCAGTGTCAAATAGAAGGCTCAGTGTGGAAAAATCCTCAGAGCCGCCTGAAGAAAGGAGGAACTTGACCTGCTCTGTCAGGTCTGGAATGATGCAATCAACATTTATTATTTTAAACACAGACAGACGCCACATTTTTGTTTTACACTATCAACACACTCATTAAAAAAGAAAACATTTGCTTCCCTGACTGACTCGACTTGGCCGCTGTAGCTGTAGATTATTGAATCTGTTTGACACGTTCAGTGCAGGCTGAACTCAAGTGTCTCCCTTAACTACTTTCATGCTTTCTATAATCAGAAGACTTTTCCTCTGTTAACACCAGCATGGTAGAATAACGGGCTGATATCAACACGATTAAAGACAACAGCTGTTTGTGTGATCATCTGCACTGACAAATAAAAGGAAGGAGCTCAGAGAGAGCTGCATTTCCACCCTTTTGTTATCCAGATGTCAGCTCTTCAGCATCAACATCTGTAATACGCGTACAGTAGGCAAAAACATTACAAGAACAAGACCCTGCAGGTTCCTCGTGTCCCATTACAGCTGATTCTGTCCCAACGTGTCTGCACACTTTCAGCCAAACTGACTTCATATGTCAGTGAAATGCATTTATTTAACTCCTTACACCGTGAAACCCTACTAGGAGTAACCCTTAAAGCTCTTTTCTGAAGCAAGCAGTTTCTGTCATATTTCAGACTTGCTTATAGAATAAAATGACTGGGTTTGCATCAGAAGTGAGTAGGGCTGCCACAATTAGTCGACTAGTCACGATTACGTCGACGACTAATTTAATAGTCGACGCGTCGTTTGACGCTTT